TTCAACCAAAAAAAAATAGTGACAACCCCTCCCCCCCTCCCCCCTCCCCCCCACAACCACCACCACCCACTGAACCAAGACACATTTCCCCTCAACATGCATCATAAAAAAAAAAAAAAAATCAACACTTCCTCCACCATACACCAACATAGAGAAAAAAATAGATCCCTCTCCTCCACCAAAACTCAACCAATCAACCCTTTTTAACTCAGTCGGCCGCCGGACGGAGTAAGGGAAAGACACGCCGGAATTTTCCTCTTCAATTTGCTACTGTTTTATTTAATTCTCTCCTCTTTCCGTCTTTATATATCCCCCTTTCTTCTTTCTTTTCCACCCCCTTTTTTCCATTCCACGAGGGATGACGACTTACACGGAAGATTACATACGGGATAAACTGATGAAAGAACTCGATGCCAAACATGTGGTGAGTTTTGAGGAGCTCTTTTTTTTTAAATAATATTTCTTTTATTAAGCCTTTTTTTAATTATAACAATTCGAGAGAGTCTATAGATGAATGGGTGAGTTGAAGTAGACCAGGAGGAATGAAGGGAAACGAGTGATACTGAAAAGAAATGAAAGCAACGCGAATGAATGAAATTTGAATGAATTCGTAAAATTGTCGTCTTGTTGTTTTCTTTTTTTTTTGTATTTTCTTCTCTTTTTTTATTATTATTATGATTGTTATTTACGTAGGAGCTTATGCTGTGGAATTTTTTTCCTTTCTTTTTTTGGTTTGTTTATTTATTTACTGATAGTTTTGCCTTTCAGATTCTGGGATTTTTTTTTTTTTTTTTTTTTTTTTTTTTTTTTTTTTTATTTTTTATTATTTTTTTTTTTCGCAATGCATCGGTATAGGACACACAAGTACACATATATATAGGAATTATGGCACGGAATTCCCTCCCTCTCCCCCTCCCTCTCCCCCCTAGTACCCACACTCTTGGGCCCGAGATCAAGGGCATAGGGCATGCAAGATACCGGGGAAATTGGACAATTAGTAGACGAATAGTAATATAATAACGTAATGAGGATAATACCTCGTTCTGCTGCGACCTACGACCCTCCCCATGCTGGATTTATGCCCCCCACCCCCCCAGCCCCCTGCTCGTAAGGCAAAGAGTCATCCACGTATGCACAGCAGGATAGACTGTATGTGCACGCAGAGCGAAGACCTATATCACCTTGGAATTAAAGGGTACTAGCCTTATCGATAGACGCTAAGCTGGGGAGGGGGATTCTTTCGTTCTCTGTCCCTCTGTGCGTGCGTGGGGGGGGGGGGATCGCTGGGGCTGCCCTGCGTTACATATGCTTGTTCATTGGCTTGTGCATGTACTGTATTCTATTCATATTTTACCCTAAAATTTCCCTGGTACCTTTCATGTCCTCCTCTGCTTTTGGAGTGGAGATTGTTGCTAATGGTGGGGGGGGGGGGGGATTCCGCAGCTTAATTTCAATATATTTAGATAGGAGGGAGTTAGAGGAATTCATCGGTACCAGATTTGTCGATACCAATTGTCGCGATCTGTTATGAGAAAGTATTTTGAAAAATTACTGGGCAATTTATTTATTTTTTTATTTTTTATTTTTTTGTAATATTAATATGCAGGTATTAGTTTCATGTTTAACATAATAGACATGCACTTTGTTTTATATATTGTGGCCCTCTTTGCTGTCGACCAGTCTTGGGGGTTACGGCAAATGTTAAAGAGACGCCTATGTAACAGCCACTGGTCATTGCACCATGCTTGTTCCTCTGCTAATTGCAATCATGCCTAGTAAAGGCCAACATACTTAAAAAGAGAAGCCATGACGTAGGCTTATGGTCTGAAAAAGGTATGGTTTGTTGGCCTTTGTTTGAGCATCAGATGCAGAGGTGGAGGTGGTTTGCTTGATGATATGCGACTGTCATGCTAAGCTTCACAATAAGTTTGATTTGGATGAAACATTGTCTTAATTTATTGAATAAATTATGACATTTTGAAAACTATGCAAACCATCTAAAATGCAGTTGCAATAAGACAGAAAAAATATGTAAGTTAATGATTGGTTGATTATACCCCGGAACAAGGCAATTAGGGATGATTGACAGAATGCCAGAAGTAAAGGAAGCCCACAGCTTTAATCTGTGCTACGGCTTCAATGATTCACAGTCCAAAAATGACGAGCAAACCTCCACAGTATAGCTTTATCTTTACTGGAGAAGTGAGTACAGAAGCCATGGCATTACTTTATGCAGTTCTGTTCTAAATAGTTGCCATGTAAATGATGTATCATTACATGAGAAATTAGTCCAATATCAATTTTGAGAGAATATAGGAGGTGGAATGCTATTTATCCTTTACCAGAGTGCCAAAGACATGGAGGCTGTGACAGTTACTTGTCATAACACCACAATTTGGTGAGACAGAGCATGTAGGCCCCTCAGTTATGGGTCACAAGTTTCTCGTTAGTTTGGATGCAACATAGCCACTTAATTATGAGAAAAGTCTTATGTTGAAAGCTGAGGATATCCATTGGAAGAATGCAATAACCAATTGAAAGTAGATTACTATTCCTTATTAAGAATATGTATTTATGGTTAAATTTTTCTGTGGCAGAAAATTTTATGAGAATCTCAGGAAAAAATCAAACCATTTATGGTCCACAGGCAATGCTAGTAGTCTCAGTGGAATTAAGGATCTAAATTACTTTGAAAAGGGATTATTTACCTGTGTAAAGTGAAGTACCTTTTCATGCCAGAAAGTGGTGCATTTTGAAAATTTCTCACTAAGTTGTTTGTAGCTTAGAATAGCCAGCCATTATTAGTACAAGTGTTTCTCTCTCTCTCTCTCTTTTCTTACTTTCTTTCTTTCTTTCTTTCTTCCCCCACCCCCCCATGCTATTTCTTACCTATTCCTGTCATTTGTTTTATGTCCCTAGGCCTAGAAACAAACAAACTATCAGTGGATTGGCAGAATCGGCCAGTATTTTTTGTTAGTCTACCAAATTTTCACGGCTAAATATTTCAGGTCATTGCTGTTGAATACGTTAGTGATTAAATTAGTTACTGGTCGTTAGATCTCGTTAACTACTATGACATCCACTGATTTTTTGTTTGTGTTCTAGGAGGAGTGGGAGTGTTGATGAGCCTGTCAGTTTTCACATCTAAGGACGCAGCGCTGGACTATCTGCCAACCGTTGAGGAAGGACTGTCACTGATTGACGACTGCTGAACAAGAACACGCTATATATATTTAGTCGCATTTCTCGTCTTTGGCCTCGGAAGCTGGACCAGTAAAATGGCCAATGTTATTTTCATTACCCTTCTCGGGATACTTCTGAGATGGTGCGTGTCGCTGCACCCTTACTCCGGAGCAGGAAAAGCCCCAATGTTTGGAGATTATGAAGCTCAGCGCCACTGGCAGGAAGTGACGGTGAACTTGCCCCTGAAGGATTGGTATATGAATACCACTGATAATGATTTACTCTACTGGGGCCTGGATTACCCTCCTCTTACTGCTTACCATAGCTATCTGTGTGGCATTGTTGCTAAGACTTTGAATCCCGAGTTTGTCGAACTTCATACGTCTCGCGGGTATGAAAGTTACGAACACAAATTGTTTATGAGATACACGGTGTTTGTTGTAGATCTCCTGATATACATACCAGCAGCTTACCTCTTTCTCTGTGCTGCATCTCGGCCAAGGAGCAGAGGTGGGAAGCTAGAGTATATGGCTTTGATACTGTATCCTGGTTTGTACTTGATAGATTATGGTCATTTTCAGTATAACAATGCTTCGTTAGGAATATTTGTGGGTGCCGTCGCTGCTCTCATGAAGGGATATGACTGCATTGGGTCAGTTTTGTTTTCTTTAGCTTTGAACTACAAGCAAATGGAGTTGTATCATGCACTTCCAATTTTTTTCTATCTGTTGGGTCTGTGTTTCAAACAAGGTGGCGTTCTAGGATTTTTCTATAAGATCACCAAGATTGGCCTGTCTGTGATATTAACCTTTGCTCTGGTTTGGGCTCCCTTTCTCAGGGATCCCCAAGTATTTTTGCAAGTACTTAACCGACTTTTCCCAATTAACAGAGGTCTCTTTGAGGATAAGGTAGCCAGTGTATGGTGCAGTTTATCCATTCTTATTAAGCTGAAAAATCTTGTGAGCAATACCAACATGGCTTTGATATGTCTCCTGTCCACCGTTGTGTGTATGATTCCAGCAAGTCTGCACCTCTTTATTAATCCCACTCAGAAGAATCTTCACTATGGACTTGTTAATGCATCTTTCGTGTTTTTCCTCCTGAGCTATCATGTTCACGAAAAGAGTATCTTGTTGGCAGCGGTGCCAGCTTGCTTCTTATATGGAGAGGAGACCTTTATGGTTACCTGGTTCTTCATCGTATCCGTTATCAGCATGTTGCCCCTTCTGGTGAAGGACGGGCTGACGGTTCCGACACTCGCATTAACCGTCCTTGTTTATGTTATGTACTCGATCAACAGACAGTCAGAGGGACAGACGAAATCCAGATATAGTGAGTTTTGGCGCTGGATCAACAGGTCCTTTTACCTGTCGTTGGTTGGATTCTCGTTTTTGACGGCCGTGTCTTTGACGGTGACACCACCTCCAAGGTTGCCTGACCTCTTCCCAGTTTTGCTTTCTGTTGTATCTTGTGTGCATTACTGCTTCTTCACTTGCTATTTTCATTACCGCCAGTTCACAACGAGATATGACAGACAGCAAGGAAAGGTGAAAAGGCATTAGGTCTGAAATGCAACTGTATGTTTTCCATAATGCAGGACCAATTAGTATAATAAACAGATGGAAAGCAAAATGTTATTATGTTGGAGGGCAACATATTCAACTTTCCAAGACCAATTCATTATATAATTGATTTTTTAGAATTTTTTGATTTCCAATGTAGCTCAGAGTTAGGTATTGTAGTTGCAGTGGTCAGAGGTTTCATTATTTTGATTAGTTGATATAAACATAATGATATACAGATATATGAATGTTAATCATCAATGTCATTATAAAAGTACAAGATTGAAATGATGTGATAATACATATTACTGTTAGACCCTTATGTGGTCATAGATTCCTTTAGATTGATCCCAACTTAATAAATCAATTACTTGTGTTTTCCTTGTTGGTTGTAGTAATATTTTGTATCTGAAAAGTGTGTTTGGTTATACTGATATGTATATTTAGTTTTTTTTCTTATAGTCTAATTTTTTATTCTCTCTCTTGATATTTCACATGATATTTATTTTTTGGATTTTGATGTGCTAGCATCCAGTTTGCTTGGTTGAGTGAAATACATCTTGTTTGGAGAATGAAATATAATTTTTATGTATTTTGGTATAAAAATGTATACTTTATCAAGCTTTTTATTTTTAGTTGCCTTTGTTGCATAACATTTAGCAGTCCATGAGATATTACCTTCTTCCATTTATTTGTTACCTGTTGTCAGTATTCTTTCTTTTGTCCCCATCTGAGTGTGCTTGAGAGTGTGTCATGTGCTGAAGAAATGTACAACTTCAAGCGCACAAACAGTTCAGGACCATTTCTTTACTGCCTTTGATTTTAAGCCGTTTTTGTAATAAACCGACCATGCATTTTTCCAGGAAGTTAAGTGCCATTTATGATATTGGCAAAAAGGTCTATGCATTGGATTCCTTGCTAGGCTAACTGGAGGGACCCATTTTTCACAATTCACCTTACATAGGTCCTTTTCCTTATGTTCTATCATTCTCTCTGTCTTTCCTCTCTTCTTCCTCTTCCCCTTTTTTTTTTTTTTTTTTTTTTTTTTTTTTTTTTTTTTTTTTTTTTTTTTTACAGAGAATAATAAGATTCCACATGATTCTCCTCTCTCTCATGGGGAGTTATTCAAGTTACATTTACTCTGCACCCCTTGTAGGGAAACATTGTTATTGTGACAATACAGTTAAAGTCTAGTTTCAGTGACTGGAAACATTTTCTTTCATTAAAGTGTTTCATTTTTCATTTGTGTTCTTTTATTTTCCCATATGTGTACGAACAATGAGCCTTGATTAGTGGTTCTTCACTGATTGTGATGAATATTGGTAATCTTCTGAGTGCTAAGAAGAGCCGACTTCAAAATAGTTTATGCAAGAGAACATAATTTTTATTAAACTTGGTATTTAGTATGTCCACTTGGAAGCAGATCAGATGTTTTTTGAAGCATGAGACTGATCCTGTAGACATTTTAAGTCAAGAGTTTTCACAAGAAAAGACATGAGGATTAGATGATGTATTTATATTCCAGCATCAGAAGTGAAAAGAAAGATTAACAATTTAAAGAATTCATGTTTTTAAGATTGAATAGAAAATTTCATAGAATTAAAAGCAGCAAAGGGAGAAGGTAATATTCCTCAAAAGGATTTTTTTTCTTAAGTAAAAATGAATGCTTCTTAATAAGTACCAAAGTATTTAAGTAACTGCAAGTAAATAGGTATAAGAAATTAAGCTTTTTTTATTGCCCAATTAGTTTTGTGTAATATATTGTAGAGCTTCCATTGACTTAACTCTTTATCAGTTTACTTTACCTAGCTGAATTATTATAGGTTATGGGTCTAGACAGATTCTACAGCCTCCAATATGAAAAGCTTTGTATAGTATTGTTAAATGTTATGTGTTTTTTATGTATCTAAATGTGAAGGCAACAGGTTCATTAAACTCCTCTCTCTCGCTCTTCGGTAGTCAGTGGAGGACATGAGCGATGGGTGTGGAGCCAAGTTCAACGTGGTGGTGGTTTCGCCCAAGTTCGAGGGCAAACCCCTTCTGCAGCGGCACAGGTAAGCTACCGTGTGTATTGAGGGCTGGGTTTTGATGTGGCGAGGCCCGGTGCTAGCTGGAGCTTGGAGGCCTCTTGTACAATTAATTTCCTGGGAAAATTAGAATATATTTGCCCTAGTTTAACAAGTAGCGTGGATGAAGGAATGACTACTGCGAATTAAAAAAAAAATAGTTTCTAAAAGGTCACCAAAATAGGGGGCAATGCAAAATGTGGGTCTTAATCTATAACTTGTTTAGCTTGTACATGAATCCTGCCCTGCTTGTATTGAAGGAGTGGAGGTCTGTGGCGCTAGGTCAACGGTTGCGGCATTTTGTGATGAATGAAGCTAGTGAGAATAAAGGAGGATTAGGGAAGGACAGGTGAGGAAAAGAAAGGTAGATAAATGACGGATGTAATTGTTTCTAAAATCATGAAGGGTAGGAAGAGTTAACTGCAAATGGGCCATTCTTTCTAGTTTATGATGGGGCTAGTGAAACTTCCGTCTGTATTTGCCACCAGCAGTGCATTATCTCATCCCTACCCTCATAGGATTCAGGGTGCAAAATAGTCTAAACTAATACGTGTTTATTGCTCATTTGGCTCTCTCTCTCTCTCTCTCTCTCTCTCTCTCTCTCTCTCTCTCTCTCTCTCTCTCTCTCTCTCTCTCTCTCTCTCTCTCTCTCCCCCTTTTTCCCTCCCCTCCCCTCCCCTCCCCTCCCT